TTACAGTAAATGTGCTCATTGCCTGTCAGCTCGCAGAACGACGGGGTCACCTTTGTCCCGTGGACTCAAGTTCCCAAGTGAAGCAGCACGCCCGGCCGGAGGGGCATGTGGCCGAGGCATTTTTATTTCCTAAGTTGTTCTGATTCGCTCAAAGGGCGGATCTCATCTCTGCAGCTTATTTTTGGGAATGAAATGAATTTAAGCTCAAAGGCGCTTTAAATAAAAGCACCACAGTTACACTTGCTCCAAGGCTGGGAGGGTTTCTTCATCTCCTTTTGATACAACTTCAATTATCGTTGTGCCGAGCAATAACGGAGGTGACAATACATTTGCCAGAAGATATACATGAACCACCTCCTGGAAATGCTCAGAGACAGAAAATGTGGTGCCCGTTCGGCAAAACCCTCCTGCCACCTGGCAGCCTCCTTCCTGAACCCCCGAGACCCCTGCATGGGTGTCAGCGGGAGAAGTAGCCACGATGCCAGGCTGGGTCCTGGCTCCGGACCTGGTACAGTCCAACCGGACCGGAGAGAGAACCTTAGAGATGCACCTCGCTGGCCCAGGACGCGCCCACCACTCGGGCCACGTCAGGGACACGCAGACCACGAGGACTTGCTAGCACCTGCCACACAGCTCGGCACTCACTGCAAATGTCACCAGGTCGCCCGGATGGACTGAACTGTCCCATCCCCTGCCAACCTGACTCCGGGGGATGGGGCCTTGGGAAATTAACTGGTGTGAGATGAGAGCATGAGGGGTCCTCATGACGGGGGTGGTGTCTCCCCCTCCTCCTCCCTCCCCTCCCCCTCCCCCTCCCCCTCCCCCCCTCTCTTCAGGTGAGAACACAGCCAGAGGGCAGCCATCTGCAAACCACGGGAAGAGCCCTCACCAGACACCTGCTCTGCTGGCATTTGGTCTTGGACTTCCCGCCTCCAGGACGATGAGAAATAAATGTCAGTGGTATTTGGTTACAGCAGCCTGAGCTGAGACGTGTCCCTCGCTCTTTTGGAGAGTTTAAAAATGAAAGTTTTAAAAAAGCAATGACTAACGGTCACAGAAGTGAAGCTGACTTAGACGTAAAGAAGGAGAAGGGCCTGGCGTTGCTGCTGGATGAGGCTGAGGCCACAGTGTGCTCACCGACGCCACACGAGGCACCTCAGAGGCAAGACTCAGAGGCAAGAGCCTTGGCCTCACGGCAGCTGGGCCCGGCCAGCCGATTCCCGAGGCCCCTGACAGATCCCGGAGCGGGATGTGCGAAGTGCTGAGACACGGTGCACGCTGAGGGTGGTGGGAGGACGCCCCACTCCACTGGGGCTCATCTCGAAGGACTGATGAGGCTGCCCGAGGAATGGCGGGAGGGGGCAGCAGTGACAAGCTCAGCCACCTCTGAGCCCTGTAAGTGAGACGGCGGCAGGTGAGGGCGGCAGGTGAGGGCGGCAGGTGAGGGGGCCGTGCACTTTCTTCTGAGTCTCTCCCAGGTGTAAAGTGAACATGGTGCGGACATTCACACATTCGTTTCAGAGGAAGCAGAAGCAGGTGGCGGTAAGTCAGTCGCTGCCACTAGACCCACGAAGGACCCAGAGGGAAGAGACGCGGTGCCCTGTCCCCATCCCACTTCCCGGCACACCCTCGTGAGGCTCAGGGACTGCGCCCTGGTCTCTGCCTGGCTTCCGTGGCGGAACCTAGGCACAGGTGCGGGCGTGGGCCACCCCCCCACCCCTTTCCCTAAAGAAACGGGGACCCTGGGGCCCAGGCCCAGGCTGGGATTCAGAAGGAGTCCGCATGCGTTCACAATCCCCTGCAGTCCTCCAAGGAGCCGGTTACTCCCTGCACAGCAGGGACCTGCCAACTGCCCTCCTGTGTCAGGTGCCAGCAACACCTGGTGGCCCTGCCCCTCCCATCTGGGCATCTCCTAGCACCTGCTCCAGGTGACAATGCTGGTCTCCAGCACAGAACACACATAAAAAGTGCCCCTTGAAATGTTCAGAGACAGGAAATGAATGCCCTGTGGACAGACCGGACGGCCCTCAGCACCTCCAACAGCACCTGCCCTAGGGTCTCAGGTCAGCTCCCTGGAAACCTCACCCTCCCTCGCCCCACGGGGGGAAACGTCCCCAATACTGTTACACAGAAACCAACTGGTAGAGAATGACCCATCTCCGTGAAAACAAACAACCCCAGGTGTGTGTGTACAGAGAAGGCCACAGTGCTGGGATCACGTACGCTTTTCTATCATAAGCCTTTTGAAAATTTTTAAGTGAAGGGAGTTAAACTAAATGGTTTCTAAGGTTTTTTCCGAGGGGAATCAAGATTTAGGTCATGGATCAAAATTAAAGTGACAAATAAAAGAAAAAGCTGTTTGCTTCCCTAGTGGAGAACACACCTGCAGTTCGACACCGACCAGAAAACCGAAGGCCTCAGCGGGAGCCAGCGCCCTCACCCCCTGGCCCCGCCAGCACAGCGCTCTGGGGTGGCCGGGGGTTCCCAAGCACAGCAGGTCGAGTCCCCTCACTTCCTGTTTCCCATGAGCTCCCGGAGGGTTTTCCACGCCCACGCCGTGGGTTACTGGTTAAGGAGAAGGTAACTACCAGGGGTACAGCCTTCCTCCCCGGAGACTCACCCCAGCGCACGCACTCACCCAGTCTCTCGCATCAAGGAAGGGGGGGGCGCGGGGGGGGGCACCTCCTGCAGGGCCCAGCACCTCTGCTCTAGCCCAGAGGAGTCACGCACATCTATGTTCCCTCCTGTCCAAAGGGGCCAGAGAAGCACATGGTGGGGCCACACAGTCGTGATGGGGATTAAGTAAGAAACGGGTGCCCACGTACCGGCTGTGACCCGCCCGCACTCCATTGTTCCAGGGACCAGGGAGCAGCGGGTGGACCAGAACCTAAAGCCTGGCTGGTTGTTGAGCTGCTGTCTATGGAGGAATGTTTCTCTCTCTCCCTCTCCCTGTCTCTCTCTCAAAATTAGTGAAGACACATTTAAATACATAAATAATCTTGGACAATAACAGCATCCATATAAGACCTTGCAGCCAGGAAATTTACAGAAATTCAAAGTATTTCCTCAATAAGCAAACTCATGCAGGTCAGAGTTGTGAAACCAGAATTGTTATCATATTTCTGCAGCACAGAACATTGGGATGATCAATGGCTCTAAAAATAGTCCAGAAAAAAATTAAGAGTTCATCATCGGACACGAGAAAAACAACCTCATCCAAAATAGGAAGGCGTCCATGAACATGCCTCGCTTCCCCATGAATTACCCTGACAATAGGAAGTGGAATTTTAATGTTTTTCTTTAATCCAAAACTATACCCCCACCCAAGTCGCTCTGGGAAAACCGTGCTCATGAAGGAATAATTCCCAGATAAGCTTGTGCTGTTGCCACGCGGCTCCGCAGACACCAGGGAACAGCACGGACAGGCGCTGTGGCCGCCCAGCGAGAGGCTGCGAGGGGGAATGCGCTGCTGCCGCTGCCTCTAGGTTTTAATTTTCCATGAAAAACTATTCTCATCACCACGGCGGCTCAGACTTATGAGGAAACAGCCATGATTAGGTTTTTTGTGTGTTTTTTTAAAAATATATTTTATTGATTTTTTACAGAGACGAAGGGAGAGGGACAGAGAGTTAGAAACATCGATGAGAGAGAAACATCGATCAGCTGCCTCCTGCACAAGTGGATGTGCCTGCAACCAAGGTACATGCCCTTGACCGGAATCGAACCCGGGGCCCATCAGTCTGCAGGCTGACGCTCTATCCACTGAGCCAAACCGATCAGGGCTTCATGATTAGGTTTTAAAGTGCACTCTTTCCACAGGAAAGTCACCACCACGCACTTCGCTGCAGTCAGCAACCTGCCCTCCCAGCCCGTTCCAGGGCACAGAGAGGCGCAGAGCGACAGCCAAAGGGAGAAAACACAGGCCGGACCTGCTCCCGGGAAAGCCAGGCATTCACGTGAGGCTCTGAGTGCAACAGGAAGAAGGGTGCGGACTATGGAGGACACTGACAGCGAACAGGGGGGGCCTCCTCCTCCGAGATGGGCTTCACCCCAGAACAGCAGCAAGTGTCTCCCCACCCAGGACGGTGGCGGAGACGGTGAGACGGATGGTGACAAAGACAACAGAGAGGGAGGGTTCCAGCACGGACACTGGAACCAGCACGGCACGGAGATGAGCTGCCGCGGAGGCCGCCCCACACCGGTGGCGCCGTACTCTCCTGTGACCGTGTAAGGAGTGGGTGCTAAGCTGCCGCGTGATCACTTCACGGGGCGCACACATCGCACCATCATGTCACACACCTGACACTCAGCGCTGACAGGGCCGGCTCAGCCACTCCGCTGCCTCAACTCAGAGCCTCCCCCCCTTGAAAGACACCTCCAATGTCCCCCAAAGTGTACAAACCAGTAACCTTAAAACCCCGCTGCACACACAGCTGTTGTGCAGGCAGCACACCTGACCGTGTTGGAGGACGGCCTGGGGCGGGGTGAGGCCCCCCGGCTGCAACATGGAGGGAGGCTCGTTCACTCCCGCAGCCGAGAATCCCGTCACACGCAGACACCACGCCCCAGGGCCCAGCCACACACAGCCACCTGCTCCCGGCCTAAAAGACGAAGCTCTAACTCCACCAAGTCAACAGACACTGCAGGCAAGGACAGCAAGCTGCTTCTGAGGGTCACAAAGGAGCAGAGGAAGCCGCTTCCTGGGCTGCCACTGCCTCCGGGAGGCGGTGGAGCGACACTGCATTCGCTTGAAGGAGACTCTTCCCTCGTGGGGAGCAAACACTGGGTCCTCAAGAGCCGGGCGGGGGCCGGAGCTGCTGTCTGGGGCTGCGTCTCTCCTGGCTCAGCCTCGGCCTCAGCGCACACCACTCGGGCCTCGGCTGCCTCTTCCCCTGACGCGGAGAGCTGCCGTCCGCCTGAAGGATGAGACAAGACGCTACTGGACACGGGAAGAATTCTCACGAGAACGTAGAGCTGCTGGAGCGACCCACCCGCCAACACGTCTTCCTTGTGCGTCTACACGTCATCACTTTTCTCTTAAACGCAGCCACTTTTTTCCTGCAATGCTTTTCAGCACAAGTGGGAAGGGACCCCGAGATTTTATGCAGCTGCGTTAGATTTCACAGAGCTCACTTTACCAAAACGAAGGAATTGAAAAAGGCTGCTAAATATTGTTATTTCTAGCTTCCTTGAAGGCCCCTCAAAATCCCCAGGAAGAACAGTGATGCCGACACAGTGACCTCGAAGGCACTTTTCTCCTTGCTGAGCATGAGACCCAGGGAAGAGGCAGCGAAAGACGAGGAACAGAGAGAAGCAGGGATGCCTCCTCTCCAGGCTTGGACGTGACGACGCGGACTGACACCTCCTCGGAAATGGCAGAGCAGGGAGCTTCTGGGACGAGGACGGTGTCCCAGGCCCTTCTGAACGGCCTCTGCCTGTGAATCTACGAGTTTTTCACAGAATCCAAATTCTCCTCTGGGGCCAACGGAGCGTCCTTCCGAGTCACGCTACACACTGGCGCCCGCAGTCCCAGCGACATCACGGGGAAGTGCTGGGTTGCTGTGTACAACTATGCGGGACTTCAATGTCAGCACGTCTGATCTGTAGGTAAATGCATGTCAGGATGGGTAAATATTATGCCACTGAGGGTCACAGAGTTTATTTTTAAATAGAAAAGAAAAAGAAGAGAGGAAGGAAGATTGTTTGATGTATTGAGGCCAGAAGAATCCTTAATGGCTCATTTTATTCAATCCTTCACATTTAGGAAGGATTAAAAATCCTTCTACTTTTTAAAGAAATATATTTTTATTCTTTTTTTTTTTTTAGAGGAAAGGAGAGGGATAGAGAATTAGAAACATTAATGATAAACATCAGCAATCAGCTGCCTCCTGCACGCCCCTACTGGGGAGCAAGCCCACAACCCAGGCATGAGCCCTGACCAGGAACCGAACCGTGGTCTCCTGGTTCCTAGGTCGATGCTCAACCACTGAGCAACACCGGCCAGGCTCTTCACCTTCTTTCATTCAATCTCCCTCCCACTCCCTCTGACAGCTCAGTCTGTTCCATGCATCAATGCCCCTGGTTGTATTTTGTTCATTAGATTTCACGATTGAGACCATATGGTACTTGTCTTCCTCCGACTGGCTTATTTCACTCAGCATAATCCTCTCCAGGTCCCTCCATGCTGTTGCAAAAGGTAAGGCTTCCCCCTTTTTTACGACTGAGTAGTATTCCATGGTGTAGATGTACCACAGATTTTCTCCACGCATCTGCGGATGGGCACTTGGCTGCTTCCAGATCTTGGCTGTTGTAAATGCTGCTGCTATGAACATAGGGGTGTGTATAGTCTTTGATTGGTGCTTCAGGATTCTTAGTCCCAGAAGTGGGGTCGCTGGGTCAAAAGGCAGTTCCGTTTTTCATTTTCTGAGGAAGCTCCACACTGTTTTCCAGTGGCTGCCCGGCCTGCTCCCCCACAGTATTGGAATCGTCAACTCTGACTGTTTCTCCTTCCTATTCTGTCACTGTTGCTTCGTACACGTTGGGCGGCTGCTGTTAGGTGTGATGTTTATAACTGTTCCATCTTCCGAACGTCTTAACCCTCTGTCCTCACTAAGTGTCCCTCTCTAGTGACAGTTCCTGTCATGAAGTCTGGTTTGATAATAGAGTCACTCTGGCTGTAGTGTGGCTGCTGTTTGCACGGTTGTTTTCCATCCTTTCACTTTCAACCTCTGTGTCTGAATCTAAGCTGTGTCCTTACAGACAGCAGACAGCTGGGTCTTGCTTTTTTATCCAGACTGACAATCTCTGACTTTTGAGTGGGCTATTTAGTCTATTCCCATTTAATGCAACTATTGATATGACTGCTAGCAACAAATCCGTCTTTAATTGCGAATGTCTTTCTTTCTCGTTCATATTTGAAGGATAGTTTTGCTGTGTACAGAATTCCTGGTTGGAGATTTTCTTTCCGCACATTAAATGTGTTATCCTCCGCTGTTTTTTGTGAGAAGTCATCCATTAATACTATTTTTTTCTACCTCTCTTTCCTCTTCTTTTGGATTTATTATATATATGTTGCTATGGTTGATGTCCCACAGATCTCTAAGCCTCTGTTTATATTTCTTCAGGGTTTTTTTAATCTTTGTTCTTTAGATCGAAGAATTCCTTGTTCTGCCTCCTGGGTCATCTCACATCTATTATTGAATAGAATCTGTCATTTCATGTCAGTTATACTGTCAACTCCCGATTTTCCACTTGGCTTTCTTTTTCAAAATCATTTCGGTCTCTTTATTGAGATTCTGTATTGTCTTTCCTTGAATTCTCTGAATGTGGTTTCCTTTCTGTGTCTGAACATATTTAAACAGCCGCCCTGCAGTCTTTTCCTGCTAAGCTGCAAATCTGAGGATGCAGAGACATGGTTCCTACCGACTGACTTTCCTGGCATAAATCACGCCTTCCTGTTTCTCGGAAAGCGTCTAATTTTCTGTTGGACACCGGACACTGGACGTAACACACGGCAGCAGCTCTAGGCCCGACTTCCTGTGGAGCACTGTCGTCGGTGCTGTCCTGCTCGCTCAGGAACCTGCCTGGACCGAGTCTGTAAGATCCGTCTCCCGGGGAAGATGCAGCTCTGAGGTCTTCACCACTTTTCCCGTGTGTGTTCTCCAGCCTGCTCTCCTCGGGGTCACCCCCGCCCCCCGCCGTGTGCACAGCCTGCTCTCCTCGGGGTCACCCCTGCCCCCCGCCGTGTGCACAGCCTGCTCTCCTCGGGGTCACCCCTGCCCCCCGCCGTGTGCATAGCCTGCTCTCCTCAGGGTCACCCCCCTCTCCCCGTCTGCACAGCTTAGAGTTGTCGTGCTCACATACCCGGAGCCGGAAAGACTTCTGCTTCTGGCTGTGAGTGGACAGGGAGCACATCGAATCTCAGGGGGCTCATGCCGCCCGGCCTTCCCTTGCTGCTGGCTCGCTCCCATCCCGTGAGTGCGCTCGGGCTCTGTGGGCAGAGTGTGGGGGCTCCGGCGCACGACACCTCTGCGTCTGGTGCACAGACAGCCTGGGCACATGCAGAGCTGTCCAGCCCCTGATGGCCCTCTCACCCCCCAGAGCTCCCCATGTTCCCATAGACCACTGTCCACCGCTTGTACCACAGAGGGCTGTGAGCTCAGGACAGTGGGGCCACTGGCTCTTCTTGCTCATTTACACTGACACAGCCATTTAACTGAAAATACTGCGCATGGAATAGTCTGGAAGCACCAACCAGGCTGCTGGTTTTCGCAGCCGCCCGCTCTGGTTCCACTATCACACGGACAGAGCTGCGGAGAAGGCAGGGGAGCAACCTCAGGCGAGAACACACCACCAGCGCTGCCCGACCCAGAGCCGTCGCTCTCAGGGACAAAGCCTCTTCAAGTGCCGCGTCCTGTGGTCCGTCTGCCTCGCTCTGGCTTTCTGGCTGACGTGGGAAGGCTGTGTCCACATGCTCCCCCGTCGCGGGAAGTCGACTCTCAGCCACGCTTCCCGTCTGTGGGGTCAGAATTAGCCATGCTCTCCCTCAGGAGACCACACAGGTGAAGAGGCCGCTGTGAAGTCTCATTTCAAAGACATCCCTGTCTTTGTCTGCGGGGTGGGGGTAGGGGGGGGCCGACCAATCAACATAAAGATGATAAGGGCACCTGTTTCGGTGGTTATTTCACTCCATCAAGTTCATCAACAACAGCCACTCCTTGCAGGCAGCCCCTGCGGGTGACACGACGGAACCAAATGCCCCACCAGGAGGACGGCCCCCAGGATCTCCGCGGGTCCTGGTCCCACAGCTGCTCCTGCTCCCCCATCTGTCTCCTCTCTCCCAGCTCCCTGCTCACGCAGAGCCGGCCAGTCAGGTGCCCGTGGGCGGTCCTACCGTAAGTCACCCTTTTCCGTCTTCATCCAGTGCCTGGTCTGGGCCCACTGCCTTCCTCTGCCGCCTCTGATGTGAGACTCCTGGTCAGTTGGGCTCTGGACACTCACGGCCCAGGAAGGGGCCAGAACGCCCCGTGCATCCAGAGGCCAGGCTCTTAGCACTGGAGAGGCTTTCGAGATGCTGTTTGTTTATAAAACCTCCCGTGTTCAGATGGGAAACCAGGGTCAGGAGAGCGAGGGGGTCCCCAGCACCCCTGCCAGGAGCACGAGGAGGAAGCGCAGACGTGGACCCGAGTGGGGGTCAGGCGAGGGCCGGCGCCCAGAAGGGACTCGGTGGAGATACTCGACAGTGCCAGCTCTGGTCCAGCCCAAGACCACTCCCACCCTCGTCTCTTACCTGAGCCAGGAGCAGCCAGGCTGCACACTGCCCGGGGGCCACCAGGCTCTTCAGCTTCACGGCGCTGAGTGTGACGAGGAACCCCAAAAGGCCACTGGAAGGAGAAGCCACCTGTGAGTGAGGCTTGTCTTCTCGGAGCCAATAGGGAACCATTTCCTGTTACACTTCACCAGTCACTTTCTAATTGTCACACACCTAGTGCACCTGCTTCCAGTCATCTCTAGATTTAAAAAAGACAAGTTAAGACCCAGGAAGCTCTACTTTCCTCAGGAGCTTTGAAGAGAGCATTTACCAGAGGTGGGGAGGGGGCCCGGAAATGTGGGAGGGCTGTTACATCATGACCGAAAGAAAGGGGGGCGGCACCCCCCGTTATGCTGGAGCTTGGTGCTTGCCAAGCAGCTTCCATTTCTCCCAGCAGAACACAGGCAGGGACAGATTCCCAAGGGAAAGCACCACCTGAGGGCAGAGGGTCTGGGTTCGAGGTAAGACCTGAAAGGGGAGGGCTGGCTCCCATGACACGTCCCCAAGCGAGGTCACCACACAGCAGCGGCGCTCTAGGAACGAGCCTACCCCAGGGGTGACCTGCACGCGCCCCCACCCTGGGGGCCGGAGGTGGGCAGCATCTCGGGGGCCGCACGGCACTGACACAGCCGTGGTCAGGGAAGCAGTGGCCTGCACAAGAACCGTCTTCTAGGTCACCACGTGGCCAAGTGCAAAGCAAAGGGAACGCCAAGCAGAATGATGGCTCCTCCTGACATTTGGGGGCAGGGGGCTGGGGAAGGGAGTATGGCAGGGACGCCATGACGGAGGCCGACTCAGCAAATAAGCGCAGTGAGGGCGGAGTGCGGCTCGAAAAGCAAGAGACACGCCTGCAGCTGTGCCCCAAACTACGGGCAGGTCTGGGAGTTGTGCCATTGGCACCCCCAGGGCCCCGGGTCTCACGCTGCCCTCTGACTGTGTGGCAGGCGCTGGTGGTGGCTCTGACCTGACTGAGCTCTGGGAGGGTGGGGCCTGGCCTTGGCTGGGACTCTCTGGAGCACTGACTCACGCTCTGCAGGCATTGGACTCACAGGCGGCCGCAGCAGGAACAACGATGGCCATCATTTACGGGCCAGGCACAGGCGCAGGCATCAGATTCCCTCTCCAGTACACACAGCCCTGCACGCTATTTCCCTTTCTCCAGACGAGGAAACGAAGTGAGGGCAGGGAGAAGCAGGATCATGTGGCCAAGACACGCCCTCAGGGAGCACGGGCTGGGCCTCACCCGAGTCGGTTTTCCCACCACAGCAGAGACCTGCGCCTCCCCCAGAGACCTGCGCCTCCAGTGCAGCAAAGTCAGGCCGGGGGGGGGGGGGGGGGGGACGACAGGGAGACAGGTTAGTTGGTCCACATCCCTGAGTGCTTCCCAGGCTCATGTTCCAGATCACCTGGTCCAGCCAGCTCCTACTCAATGGTTCCCACAATCTGTCTCATAACCTTGGGGTTCAGTGGAGGTTTTTGTGGGGTCTTTTTTGGAGGCTGCCCTTCAGGAGCAAGAGGGAGCCAAGGTGGAAGTGGAGAGGGTAGGACTGTGGACCCCAATCTTCCCTTGAACTCAACTAGCTCAGACTAACGTTGAAAGAATTGTTTGTGGAGAGAAAATAAAGTCGGGAAATCCCAGCTCTTGGAAACCAAGTTTGGAAACCACTGTTAGAACCTGAACACTTCCGCATGACAGGGGTCCTCGAAGGCCCAGGCCAGCTCTGAGCACCCGAGGGTGTTCAGAGCACCCCGCCTGCCCCCGCCACCGCCCGGCCACGCGATGGGTAACCGCCAGTGACCTTGGGCTTCGCCGAAGCGAAGACACAGCTGGGAGCACAAAACAGGAATGAACAGTGCGAGGATTTCGTGAGGTCAGATTACCTGGCGCAGCAGCTGCCGTGGAATCTGTAGACATACAAGAAGGGGAAGTCCAGGGCGCGGAGGAGGTCACCTGCGGGCACAGCGAGGGTGAGACGGTGGCCCGCGCCCGCGCCCACGGTCCCAGCAATGCACGGCCAGGGCCTCCGCCCAGGCCCCGAGCGAGGAGCTGCCCCGCACTGAGTTCACACCAGCTTCCCTAGGGCTCCTGTTACGGCCCTTTCTTACAATAACAGTCTGATAGTAAGGATGCCCGCTGAGGGAGTCAGCCCTGGCAGGGCCCCTGCTGAAGTTGCACATCACCTTTCTCAGGGCCATGACGATGTAATGTAACCCCCCTTTGCCTGGAGCTCAGAGAAGTTAAGAGATTTGCCCAGGACGGCACCACTCGAGCTGGGAGCCACAGCGGGAACCCCTCCCTGCAACCCTGGATCCTCCCCTTCCCCAGCAGCACCCTGCCCGCCCGCGGCAGAGGGGGCACAAAAAGAATCCTCTTTTCAAAAGACTGTTCTGTTCTCTTCCCCCTCAGACCTCAGACCAGACTGAGAGCCGCCTGACATCCTCTTCCCTTGTGGTGTTTAATGACGGCACCGGCGCAGGGCCAGGCCGGCCGTGCACGCTCATTTTAGGTGCCGGTCCAAAGGGCACATGTATTTCGCGTGAAGTCAGCTCATTCTTTTAGTCCCACTTGGTGCGAGAGGAAATAATCACACATACGGCTGCTTCCCTCTCTGGAATTTGAACTTGGTCACAAACAAGAAGTCAAGAGATTAAAAAAGCAGCAAGTTTTCCAAAAACGTCCCGAGGAAAGGAACTGAGCATTTCCACAGCCGACGCTCATCCTTCCAAGCTGGGAGTCTCGGAGCGCGGGAGGGGCCAGGCCTTCAAGCCCTGCTCTGCCGCCTCCTGGTTCTGAAGCCCTGGAGCTGGGGGTGTGGGAGGTTGGGGGGCTGGAGGGGGACTGGGGGTGGAGGGGGTGGAGGAGGTGTGGGGGTTGGGGGTGGAGGGGGTGTGGGGGTGGAAGGGGGGTGGAGGGGGTATGGTAGGTTGGGGGTTGGAGGGGGTGTGGGGGGGTTTGGGGGTGGAGGGGGTGTGGTGGTGGAGGGTGGTGGAGGGGGTGTGGCAGGTTGGGGAGATGGGAGGGGGTGTGGGGGTGGAGGGGGTGGAGGGCGGCCGGGTGTGCCAAGTATTAGTAGCACGGGAGCTGTATGGGCCGCACAGACAACAGTTCCTCGTCACGGCACTCGTTCATCAGGAACTTCAGGACACAAGACCAAGGCCTGCGGCCCTTCCAGACCCAAACAATTTCCAATGGTTACCGTCTAGATTGGAAGAAACGTTCTGAATTCCCTCTCTCTGGGGGCTGTGTGTGTTTTATCAAGTAGATTGTTTTGTTCCATTTATCACATGTGTGTGTTTAACTAAAGGAGGGGTGAGAGTGAGTGTGTGGGCGATGACTCCGGAAGGTTCCGGGCCATTTCTAACGCTGGGCGTGACCCCCTGGAAGGCAGCCCCATTCCCGCCAACACGTCCTCAGGGACACGGCGGGTCAGGCCCTGCACTGAACAGACACCGTACGGCAAACACACACGCAGGGTGAGCTTACCTGTGGGGTGCGCTGCGGCTGCCAGGAGCGCCACGCTGAAAAGGAAACACGAGGGAAGGAACTCGCACGGGGCACAGCACGCCTTCCCCCCTTCCCCGCTTCCCACTCGGAAGCAGTGGACCGGGCAGGTGACCTCACGGACGGGCTCCCTCCCTGAGTCCAGCTCCTCGGTGACAGTGAGGCCTCTGAACTGTAGGCAGGACAGGGGCCCTCCCACCTGGTCCAGGTTCCCTCCCACCTGAGGTGCTGCAGGCTGGGCCCGGGGTTCAGCCTGCCCGGGGACTGAGCGTCCACACCCCACCACCGAGGGTCAGCCGTGCCACTAACTGTCCACACCCGCCTCCGCCGCAGAGAGCCGTGTCGGCCACGTGAAGCAGCCTCTGAATTCCAGCCGGCTGCGCGCTAACCCGTAGCTGTGGACCGTGAGCTCAGTCTATTTTTGCCACAAAATTAACTGCATGGCAGGGAAGTTAAATGTCCAAGAAGCCAGCCACAAAATGACCCATCCCATCCACCACGTGCCTGAAAACTACCTCGACTGGTTTGCAATCGATGCCAAAGGATGAAGAGGAGGAGGCGTGTTCTGTGCTGAGGCCGTATTCTTCCTGGCACCCTCCCACCTTCCTCTCTGGGAGCTTCTCCCGCCTCCCGGCCCGTGGACAGCGCCTCCCGGGCCTGAGCCCACCTCTGTACTGTCCTTCTCCATTCCAGCCACCCAGGCAGCGGGTCCGGTCAGAGGTCAGAAATAAGACTTTTTACCCAAGACCCATCAGGCCAGATACCAGCAGACCTTTTAAATCCATTCACTCAGCAATCGTTACTGAGTGCCTAGGAAGTGCCAGGTGCTGCTCTAATCTGGGGACACAGCAAACAAGAGAGAAGACGCTCCTGCACTCATGGGAAATGCAATGGAGAAACAGGAGAAACGATCATCTCCACAGGCTGAGCTCCAATCCATTGTTTGTTTCACAAGTCACACCCCAGAGAGAACAGCTGTGCCCACCCCTTTCACACGGACACACACCACACACATGCACGCACACACATACATGTGCATGCACAGAGAGACATGTGCGCACACTCACACAGTGCACGCACACACATGCACACACATACATGTGCACGCACAGAGACACATGTGCACACTCACACGCGTGCACACATACATGCACATGCACGTACATACATGTGCATGCACACAGAGAGACACGTGTGCACACTCACACAATTTCATCTGCAAAACAAGGAGGGGGGTATGAACAGAGATTATAGCCTCAAAACAACCTGGGCCAGATTAAAAGTTAGAATCTCAGAGTCCCAGGAGCTCCCTGCCAGAGGTGGCACCGTGGGGAGACCCGGCCCCAGCCCTGGCTCCTGGCTCCATTGCCCCTTCCACCTTAGGCTGCATCCTGCACCCCGAGGACCTCACATACTGCATGTGGACACCTCAGCCTGCAAGTCCACCCACCACCTTCCACCGACAGCCTTCTCTCGGGCACCGCTGGGTCTGGGAGTGAGTTGGGAAGACAGACCAGGGAGGCCCTGGGATCAAGGTCAAGACCACTTGGGGAGGGAAGTCCAGGGCCCAGGCTAGAGGGAAGCTGTGGGCTCTAGGGAAATTGTCCCCTTAGCCTTACAGACTCCACACTCCCGGGAGAGACTGAGCCTCTGAATTGTAGGCAGGACAGAGGCCCTCCCACCTGGTCCAGGTTCCCTCCCACCTGGTCTAGGCAGGGCTGCTGGTTGGTGTCCTGATTGGTCCCTCACAGACACTTAGCTCACCTCTGTGGGGGCATATTGGCTCAGAACTCCCAAGTCACATTATTGGGAAATAAGCTAGAAATATATGAGTTACTCTTTGAAAATGTAAATTATATTTTACCTGAATATATAGTTTAGGTACTGCTGGTCGATGTCACTAAGGAATAAGAAAAAGACAAGACATAAAATCATAGAAGTGTTTTACATATACAAAGTAGTCGCTACCCTGTGTTAATAAATTATATCCATGCATAAGTTACTACATTTATAAATTATCAATAAATGGTCTGAAGAGTACTTCATACTCAAAACTAAATCCTGCTCATTTAAAAAACACATGTCCTAGTCTGGTCACACACACTCACTTGGCTGATTATTTCTCACTAGAGGCCCGGTGCATGAAATCCATGCATGGGTGGGGGTTCCTAGGCCTGGTTGGCGATCAGGGCTGATCAGGTTTCCCACCTCCCTGCTTCCCCTCTTCCTCCTCCCCTCACTGCCCGCATCCGCCGCCACCCACCCCGGTTCCCCATCCCAGCCCGGGGCCTGACCCTGATCGGGTGGTTGGGGCCTGCTGGCCGGAGGAGGAACCTGGGAGGTTGGCCACCCGCCCCAAGGAGGGAGCCGGCCCTCAGCCCCTCTGGAAAAGGGCTGCGTCTGCCACCACCCACCCCTGTTTCCCCAGCCCAGCCCAGGACCCAGGGAGCATCTGCCCCCTGGTGGTCAATGTGCATCATAGCGACTGGTCGTTCCATTGTAACAGTCATTTAGGCTTTTATATATATGCTAGAGGCCTGGTGCATGAAATTTGTGCAAAGGGGGTGTCCCTCAGCTCGGCCTGCACCCTCTCACAATCCAGGACCCCTTGGGGGATGTCCAACTGCTGATCCCACAGGGATCAGGCCTAAAACGGCAGTCAGACATCCCTGTCACAATTCAGGACCACTGGGTCCTGACCACTCACCTGCCTGCCTGCCTAATCGCCCCTAACCACTTGCCTGCCTACCTGATCGCCCAACCACCTCTGCCTCGGCCCCCGCCATGGCGACTTCGTCTGAAAGGATGTCCGAAATGACGTCCGGAAGGTCGTTCGGCTGTCCAGTCTAATTAGCATATTATGCTTTTAATATCCTATCTAATAAAGAGTGAATATGCTAATTGACCCTCACACCATTGCAAAGATGGCGGCATCCACAGCCAATAAGGAGGGATTATGCTAATTGACTGTCATGTCCTCAAAGATGGCGGCACCCACAGCCAATAAGGAGGGAATATGCTAATTGACCGCCATGCCCTCAAAGATGGCAGTGCCCACAGCCAATAATGAATGAACATGCTAATTGACTGCCACTCCCTCAAAGATGGTAGCACCCACAGCCAATAAGGAGGGAATATGCTAATTGACTGCCACGCCATCAAAGATGGCGGCGCCCAGTCCCCTCAGTCCCGCTGGGGCAGCAGGCACGGGGCAAGGTCGGGCCCAGCTGCTCTGCGCGCCTGCCTCCAGAGTCCCCCAGTCCCCTCAGCCCCCCAGACACCCAGGGCCGTCTGAGGGTCAGGTAACCAGGGCCAGCCGAGGCTTGCGCTGCTGGCAGTGGCAGCAGCAGAGGTGTGATGGGGCGTCGCCTTCCCCTGATCACCAGGTCGCCTGCTGCCCCTGAGGGCTCCCGGACTGTGAGAGGGGGCAGGCCAGGCTGAGGGACCCCCCTCCCCTCCAGTGTATGAATTTTCATGCACCAGGCTTCTAGTGTATGTATGTATATATATATAGAGAGAGAGAGAGGAAGAGAGAGAGAGAGAGAGAGAAGGAGAGAGAGAGAGAGATGGGTTCATCAACCACTTTAAAGGAGTGTCAACTAGCTCAGATCAGGGGTCCAGCTCCTAAGGGTTACTATATTTGACAAATAAAAATATAGGACACCCAAAGAAACCAGAATTTCAAATAAAGAACAATGTTTCATTATAACATGCTCTAATTATTGTATGGTACATACTTACACTAAAAAAAAATTACTCACTGCTTATCTGAAATTCAAATTTAACTGAGTACCCTATATTTTATCTGGCAATTTGACTGGCTTTTTGCAGCAAAAAACACTTTATTAAAAGAACAACGGGTGCTATAGGACCCAGAGTCACACGTTCTCAGGTGTAACCTGCTCCCAGGAGCCACTCCCTCCGCACCTCTTCGCTCTTGGCCTTAGGAGGGCCTAGGACCCAGAGCCAGATGGCTGGTTGGGGTTCCGACCTCACCGGCCAGCCCAGCCCCGGCCTGGGTTCCCTTCCTTCACATTCGCCCACTGCCCACAGCGAGGGCCTCACTCTCCCCAGCACAGAGCCACTGACGGGGACTCGGGGTCTAACCCGTGTCAGGCTGGGGAGGGCTGGGGATTAGGAAAAACAGCCCTGAGCCGAGGAAGAACTAGTAACCCCTGAAGGAGGCAGACAGACGTTCCCTCTCCGCCCGTCGCTAACGCTGGCCCGTGGGAGGCCCTGGGCACCTGTCTGGAGCGGCTCAGAGACAAAAGGAGGGCTCTTGCCGAGCCTGCTGCCCACTGCACCCGACTGGCAGAGTCTGCGGACCAGGAGCAGCCCTGGCGCCTGGTCTCACCCTGCTCCTTAACCAAACCACAACGCACCACTCTGAACGCTTACCTCAACGCACTGGGTTTCAGGGACTTCTGGAGAATCTTATAGGCCCCTGAAAAGGAAGCAATGTGTTACTGGCACAGGACATTCTGGGGAAGGGGCTGCCTGCACCGCCAGGGAAGCAGCAAACCCACAGGGAGACGGAGGCCCTCTCCCCTGGAGGGTCCCCCACACCCACAGGGCGGCCGCACTCCGGGAGGGTTTGAGGTGGAAGTGGCTAATCCGGTGGTGATGCCTTCAGCACAGAGGTGCTGGGGGAGGCTGGTGGTCACGGTGTGGTTAACAGGAAGCTGTTGAGTGATGGGCAGGAGAAACACTGGGATGTCTGACAGTGGGTACCTCGGGGCACAGTGCCCCAGGACCACAGACAAGAGCACTGAACGTGTGACTTGAACACAGTCAGGTGGCCCTTCTATTTCACCCAGTTACTTTTTTGTATATTGATGGGGTGTCTTTGGCACAAACTTCTGGGTCTCTTCCCACCGTGTTTAGGGAAGACCGATCAGCCCCCCATGGAGGGCCTGAGCCAGCAGAGCCGCGCCGTGGTGAGTTTGTGTTTGTCCCTGAAGAGAGACTGTATTGGAAATACAGTTTGAGAAAACCTCCCAAACAGGACAATCAAACCAGAGAATGTCCATTTATTTTAACCTCGACACTGTATTTAATCTTCCTGTTGTCCAAAGTCACTAAAAAGCAGATTCACAGTAAGATCTAAATAATAAGCCTTAATTATCATAGTAAGCGTTCTTTTAAGACTTACCTACACCGAGTAAGTGAATTACAGCCCAGAAGTACCCATCTGGATCGAACTGTAAGACAGGATTTGAAGAAATATGGCTACAGGTTCCCACGAACAGGCCAGTCTGGCAATCAGATACCCTAAATGTCAGCGCACAGTGCCAGGCACGGGCACCAGCCAGGGGCCCAGACGGGACTGTGGGGCCTGGAGTCAGGGTCTCACCAGGTGCCTGCCACTTCTCCCAACATGCTCCCTGCCCCCAGCCCTCTCCCACTCCCCTCTCCACCCCCCCCCACACACACACCCGGCATCTAGAAGGCCACCTGATGATGTCACCACCTAGGGCCTCAAATCCCTCGGCAGTGCTCCAGGGACACTTCAGGGTGAACTCCAAACTCAGGGCACCCGGCATCGTGACAAGCCCTGGCCCCCTCCAGCGCATCCATGGCCCCTCTACAGAGAAAGGGAACTCGCTCTCCCTGGCCCCAATGCTCCCCCGGCTCAGCCCTCCTCCCCTCCCCTCCTGTCTCCACAGAGCTTCTCATCCCCCAGTTTTACTAATTCCTGTCTCTGTCGCCACCTGCACTTGAACGTAAATTCTAGGAGCCAGTGACCAGCCTAGAAGCACCCACGTGCGTAGTAGGTGCTCAATGGAGTTGAGTCCCAGCATGCTTAGGGCACCCCAGGGCGGGGTCCACCCCTGCCTGCTCCTGGCTAACCCTCCTCCCTCTTCATGATTAGGTCCAGAAAGCGGGGCCTGGCTCCAGCATCGGAAAGATCTGGGTTAAACTCTAAAATCCCACTCAATCGTCCGCTGGTGACCGCATGGGCCGCCTTCGTCTTTGGCTACGACGTGGAGACACAGTGGTCCCTGTGGGCTTGAGGGTTTAAGTGGGGCACAGGGAGCATCGGCCCGAGCCCGGCACACAGCAGGCCCCGGAACTGTTAGCTTCCCGTCCCGTGTCCTCAGGTCTCTCAGGTGCTCACACGTCCCACCTGCCCGGCAGAGCCCTGGCCGCTCTGCCAATCCTCTCCATCGTCTGCCCTCCTCTCCTTTGCTCTGACGAGACCCCGCCTTCTGTCTGAACGAGGACACGTCTTTGTGCCCAGAGTCTGGCTCGGGGCCTGACACTTCCTGGAGCCTTGGTAAGTGCTGGGAGCAAAGAAAGTCCCAGCAGCGAGAGGACTCCTGGAGTGCGGCTGGGTCTCAGCCTCAGACAGAAAAACAGGGGGGCAGGCGAAGAGGCCTGGGGAGAGAAGTCCGCTGCGCCCCAATGTGCGAGGCTCGGGCAACTCGGGCGCTGGCTGCAGGCTCTCCAAGAACCTACGGAGGCAGACGGCACCCACCACAGCACCCACCGCAGCACCCAGAGGCCAGAGCTTGGCGGCCCCACTGCACAGCCTCGGGGAGAAGGTGGGGCCCCGAGGGAACGCGTTGGCCTGGCCAGCAGGTACCCGGCCTGAAAGCACTCAATGCCTCCGCGCAGGCTCATTCTGACCCCAAAAGGGAGGACTGGGGAATTCTGCTCCCATGAGCAGGCTTCATGGTAACAGAACTGGGGAGGGAAAACACTGACTGAGCTCACCTGGGCGTCATTGAAGGGGAGGCTCCCCGCAGCGGCCAGGAGCAGGAGGGCGCTGTGGAGAGAAGGAAGACAAGCAGCATCAGGCTTCAGCATCCACGAATCCTCGAGAGCATGGGGCTGAGATACACGGACGGAGCTCGGTGGAGGCCACGGTCCCGCAAGACCGAGCCCGGCCCCTGTCCACTCTCAGAGAGCCCATGACTTCTGCAGTTTTCAACTGTGTGCCCCACCGACCACCAGCCGTCTCCCCAAAGACGAGCGTTGGCAGGGCATTCGCAAAATCAAAGCTGAATCATAAGCAAACACTTGAGACAAACTCAAATTTAGGGACAATCCACAAAACTGGGCTTCCCCTCTTCAAAAATGCGAGGCTAATAACATGTGGGGACAGGAGATCTGGCTTAGGGTGCTGGGCACAAGGTGCATATAGAGATCTTGTCAACAGAAACCCACACTGAAACCCGTATGTTCATGTTGACCAATGTCACCCAAAAAAATGTAATAGAAAAAAACTTCACAAACACACACACACACACACACACACACACACACACACACACACACTGTGAAGGCAGTGAAAGACCACGGGAGGCAGAGGGACCGTCCAGACTGAAGAGCATGCAGACACAACATCTCGGGGAGAGATTACCATGAAAGACAACATTGGGATAGACGGCCAAGTGTGGACATGGACTCCACATTAGAGAACAGGGTTGTGCAAGATATGTATTTTCTAAGTTTAATTGCAGTTTACACAGGAGTGTTATTTTTAGGAGTATTCAGGGGTAAGGACGAGGTCTCTGCAACTTATTCTAAAAGGGCTCAGAAAAAAATTAAAGAATAATTGTATATGCACATTCTTATTTATGTGATATGTATGTATATATGTATTTTCTCGATGGGTGAATCTAAGCAAAAGGTATATGCGAGCGAGTTCATTGTAACGGTCTTGCAACTTTTCTGTAGGTTTAAACCTCTTTCCTAAATAAAAGGTTTTATGAGGAAAGTCTCTTATCCATACTCAGATATTTACAGATGAGATGCTACGGTGCCTGAGATCTGCTGGAGTGGAGGCCCTGGGTGGAGGTACAGGTTGAAAACTATTGCCCTAGTTTTCTCAGTGGTCAGAGCATTGGCCATAGGACTGAAAGGTTCGATTCCGGTCAAGGGCACATACCTCAGTTGCAGCATCAATCCCCGGCCCTGGGCCTAAGGCCCAGGGGCTGGTATGGAGGGACCCTCAGAGTGGGGGCAACACGACCTGGAAGGTCAGGACAACATGGGACATCCTGAGGCTCAGAAAGGCTCCCCTCTCCAGCCCCCCAGCTCACACACACACACACACACACACACACACACAGAGGACTTCAAGGCACAGACTGCTCCGGGCTCAGAGGCAACAGGTTGGATGGAGTGAAGCTGTCGGAGGGTTTGCTGGGCTGCCCAGGAAGGGAAGGTTTCAGGTGGGAGGAGAGAAGGCTCCTAATGAGTTTGGGGTCTACCTTCGGATGAAGGCTCTACAGAACGCAGGACCCTTCCTCATCCTCAGGCCATGAGCATGAGGGTCCCCAAAAGCTGACGACCCTCCAGGCTGAGGGGAGGTGAGACAGCCCTGGTTTCCCACCAACCACGGCCCTGGGCAATGCCTACCTGCCTCAGTATTGGTGGGCTTTCATGCCTATTTAGCGCCTGCTAATCTCTTTTTTTAAAAAAAATATTTTTTAATGATTTCAGAGAGGAAAGGAGAGGAAGAGAGAGATAGAAACATCAATGATGAGAGAGAATCATTGATCAGCTGCCTCCTGCCTGTCACCCACTGGGGACTGAGCCTGCAACCCTGGCATGTGCCCTTGACCAGAATCGAACCCAGGACCCTTCAGTCTGCAGGCAGACGCTCTATCCACTGAACCACGCCCGCTAGGGCAGCACCTGCTAATCTCTTAAACAAGGGGATGAGTCCTGATGTTTCTTTTTTTTTTCCAAGTAGCAGCCTGTAATAAAGTGAAAAATAGAGACTGAATGGAAGCCCAGAAATGCTGGAACAACAAGCCTCTGGCTGGGTTTCTCGCCCCGGCACGGAGCTCCTGCAGGGGGACAGGAAGCGCACCAGGCGTCTGGGTCAGAACCAGCGCACGCCTGCCTGAGCTCCTGCCGGGGACACTGAGGCACGGAGGAGGGGGTGGCGATGACACCTGCCCGCTGTCACCTGGCCGTCTCCCAGGATCACAATGCAGATCCCTGACTCGCAAGCCAGTGCTCTCTCCACTGGGAATGCTTTCAACCCAATAAACTGTGAACACTATTTTTAAATTTTTAAGTCATTCCATGTTTTCCATTTTCACTCTCCATTGGGATTGCACAACTCTGTGAGGTTTTGGGCATGGACAACTGAAATCAGCAGTGGTTGTTTTTGCCTTAGGAATAAAATATTCCAGAAAAAGAGGAAGTAAGTTTTAGAGTAAGACTCAAAACAGGGATATATGAGTATTTATAACAAATTCCTCTGTCAACTCTCAAGTATGAATCTTCAACAAACAGTTTTATCATCGAAGTTAAAAATCAGGTTAAATCTTGTATTTTAGAGGTTTGTGTGTGTGTGTGTGTGTTTTAAACTTACCTACAGATCTTGGCAGGAGGCGTTTTCTGCATGAAAATAGAGAGATTTATAATTAGTCTTTAAAAACCCTCTTCCTTAAAAGAAAACGTTAAGACCAAGTTCATTGGGGGCCGAGCAGCAGCTGCACTGAGTGTTGCTGAGGCCTCGCTGCTGGGACAGAGGAAGGATGACTCAGCGCCCAGGCTGTCGCCTCGGCAGAGCGCCCTGGGGGTGCAGTCTTCCCATCCCCGCCACCGGTCCTCCCTCCACCCCCAGCCCTGTCCAAATACGTCTCCTGTGAGAGAGCAGCAAGACACCGGCCAAGCCTCCCCTGCCCCATGCACCACGGGAGGGAGGGAGAGGCCGATGTAACTGTGATAAAGGATTGACGCATGTGTCCGACTCCCGGTCCAGCCGTCTCTTTAATTTTCCTTCCATTAATCCAGCTCTGACTCTCAGCGGTGCTATAAATTCTCTGGCATGATGTGTAAATTAAGAAACAGAAAAAAAGAAGGGACATTGGACTCCACCCTGACCGAGAAGGAAAAATAAGAGCAGGAATCTCAACTTGGCCCTCAAAGCTCGGGGAAATGAAGAAATTCTAATGCGGACGCTCCCTTGGTCACCTCCTGTTTGTGGTGGGCTTAGGGGGGTGAGTCTTTGCACTCGGGGAGAAAGTCTAGCAGGGAGGAGCACAGATTGCTCTATACTTGCAGGGGAAACGGTCAGGTAGGAGAACAGGTCAATCCTGAGCATTTCAGAGGGTTATTTTGCTGGCTGAGGACAAACTATACTTTTTTAAAATTTTATTTTTATTGATTTCAGAGAGGAAGAGAGAGGGGAAGAGAGATAGAAACATCAATGATGAGGGAGAACCATTGATCAGCTGCCTCCTGCACGCCCCACACTGGGGGTTGAGCCTGCAACCCGGGCATGTGCCCTGACCTCCTGTTTCATAGGTTGACGCTCAACCACTGAGCCATGCTGGCCGGGCCTCACTATGATTTTCTGACTCCAGATTAAGGGTGAAGTACGACCACACTGATTAAAAGAGAGCACTGGCGAGAGCCCTAAGTCTCCCCATCACTACACAGTCCAGCCCCCACTGTTTCAATGCACAGACTTCCCTCGCTCATCTCTGTGGGTCCTGCCTCAGCAGGGCACAGGGCACAGAGCACAGGGCACAGGCTAACCGTGCCTCCACTGCCCCCTGGTGGCGACACCTTGCCCTTCAGTACAGAACGGATGACCCAGGCACAGGTGACCTGCTCCGAACAACTGGATAATCGTCCCCATGACGGGGAAAATGTGTCCCTAAGAGGTTCTGAGCTAAATATAACCAACATCTCAAGGACTGACGGACGTGTAGGGACAGAGGGATAGAGACAGGAGGGAGGCCCCGACGCTCCTATGAGTAACATGCTCACCCAGCTGTTGGGAGCTTGTTACAGGGCAGCAAACCAGTCCGTGCCTGAGCAAGCGCACCATTCCACAGAGGAGAGAATACTTTTTATTTTATTATTTTTTAAAATATATTTTATTGATTTTTTACAGAGAGGAAGGAAGAGGGATAGAGAGTTAAAAACATCGATGAGAGAGAAACATCCATCAGCTGCCTCCTGCACACCCCCAACTGGGGATGTGCCCACAACCAAGGTACATGACCTTGACCGGAATCGAACCTGGGACCTTTCAGTCCGCAGGTCGACACTCTATCCACTGAGCCAAATCGGTTAGGGCTATTTTATTATTTTTTTTAAATGTTTTTATTGATTTCAGAAGGGAGAGGGAGAGACAGAAACATCAATGATGAATGAAAATCATTGTTCGCTGGCCTCCTACACGCCCCCTACTAGGGATCGAGCCCGCAACCCGGGCATGTGCCCTGACGGAATCCAACCTCGACCTCCTGGTTCATTGGTTGATGCTCAACCACTGAGCCACGCCAGCCGGGCAACCTTTTTTATTTTGAACCCCTCAGACTAAAGGAGCTCAGACCTGAGACACGGAGCATAAAAATGAGCAGAAAGTCACTACAGAGCTCCATCCCCCGGGGCTCCAGGAACACGGGGTGGGGGGTGTCATCCAGGGGTAAGGCCACGCCTCCAAGTCACTGCCAACGTCACACACAAATCGCGTGGCTGGGTTAGAGGACTGCCTCCAGGGCTCCCCGCTCTGGCCGTGGCTATCCTCGCACTCTACCAGTCCTGACTGCGTCCGAGTTCTTTAGGGTCCTGGGTTACGGGCTACACGTGAGGACACAGAGGCCCCAAGAAATTAGGTCAGCTGCCCAAGGTCGAAGGGCTTGGGACACACAACCTAGCGCCACAGCCCGGCCCTTTATGACCCTGCTTGGCCACAGCCCATCGGCCAGGCCTGTCCCCCCCGCACCACTACCCCCCACACCACCACCCCTTAGCCCTTTCAGGCCACAGCCCTCACGTGCTGGTTCTGGCTGGAGAGACAGTGATCAGGGTGGGGAGAGCCCAGTGAGAAGCGAGTCTGAGAAACACGCCAGTACCATTTGGACCCCTCTGCAGCTCAGCTGCCCAGGAAACACCGAGCAGGCCCCACGGCTGGGCGGAAGAGGCAGCACTGGGCTGGAGACGGGGACGTGGGAGTCACCGGGAACTGAAGCAGCCGGTGCCACAGGGTGGAGTCCAGAAAGTGTCTGGTCTCCTAGGCTCCCGAGACAGAGCCCGGGGAGGCCCTGGACGGGCGGCTATGAAGAAAGAGCCAGAGGCTCGGGAAGAGGCCAGCAGGGAGGGGAATGTAGATCATGTGAGGCGAGGGAGTCGAGAGAAGGGTGTGGGGTGGTGAAAGGTGCAAAAGACAAACAGAGTCGCAAACAGGAAGCCATCAGGGGCTTCTGCCAGAGCAATTTCAGGTAATGGTGGGGGTGAAAGCAGGAAATGGTGGGAGATGAGAGAGACGGGAGGATGTGGACAGCATAGACTCAGTGGTGGGCAAGGGCCAGGACGAGAAGAGTGGAGATGGGGGGGGGGGTGCATGGGCACAGCAGCGTGCTGGCTTTCCTGTTCAGTTTTGGTTTTATAAACACAGTTGATAAAAAAGCTGTGGTGTATCTACACCATGGAATACTACGCAGCTGTAAAAAAAGAAGGCTCTCTTACCCTTTGAGACAGCAAGGAGGGACCTGGAGAGTATTGTGCTAAGTGAAATAAGCCATTCAGAGAAGGACAAGTATCCATGACCTCACTCCTATGTGGAATCTAATGAACGAAATAAACTGATGAACAAAACAGATCCAAAGACATAGAGGCATGGAACAGAGTGCAGAATCTCAGAGGGCTGGCAGGGGAGGGTGGGTGGGGAGAGATTAACCGAAGAACTTATACGTATACTAGTGCCCCAGTGCATGGATTCGTGCACTGGTGGGGGACGTGGCCTGCGGGGATCGGCCCTCTGTGGGAGCAGCCGCTCATCCTGGTCAGCTGAGCGAGTGGTGCTCCCACTATGGGAGCCCACTGACCACCAGGGGGCAGCTCCTGTGTTTAGCATCTGCCCCCTGGTGGTCAGTGTGCGTCATAGAGATTGGTCAAGTGGTCGTTTTGGTCATTCCACTGTTCAATCTCTGGGCTTTTATTATAAAGGGTGTCCCAAAATTCACGCAAGAAGTAATTTTGATAGAAAACACAGGTTTATAATTAAAAATTGTAATTTTTTTATTGATTCATAAAGTATACAGTATAGGGTTATGTATGGAATAGCACATGGGGTAAATGGCCTCCACGGCTTTGCTGGCACATACGCAAAGCCGTGGTCTTCATTGGTCTTCATTGTCCCTGCTCCTGGGCCATAATTGGTAGTTGGTAATGCTTATCAAATTGAAGGGATTGAAATCAAAGGGCAACAGATATTAGAATCTAATTCAATAAACCAAGTAAAATTAGGCTTTTATTATTTTTGTTGTTGTTGTTAATGCTCACGCAAAATTCAAATCTTGCGTGAATTTTGGAACACCCTTTATAGGACTAGTGCCCAGGTGCATGGATTCGTGCACATTGAAAGGAAATTAATTAGAAGGTGGCCGGCAGGGCGGGACTGGGCGAGACAGGCTGGACATGCCCTGGAGCCAACCTCCCATGGTCCCTCCCTGACCAGCCACACCTAGGGTGGCACCACAGCTCGAAGGGCGTCTGCAGAGTGAGCGGGGTTCCTCTGGCAGGAGGGGTCCCTCGGCTGGCCTGCGGGGATCTCCAGCTCTCCGACTTCCCCTGAGGGGTCCCGGATTGCAAGAGGGTGGTTCTTGGGTGACGCACCCAGAATCGGGCTCCCTATTCTCTGGTGCCGGGGTGCGTCACCCAAGAACCGCCACTGCCAAGTCACTGCAGCTCAGCCGCTCCTGCATTGAGCATCTGCCCCCTGGTGGTCAGTGCACATCATAGCAACTGGTCGGACAGTCAAACAGTTGCTTAGCCTTTTATATATATAGATATGCTTAACCGTGGACACAGACACTATGCATAAGGGGGACGAGTATGGCGTAGAGAGAGTGAATGGAGGGGAAAAGGGACATCTGTAATACTTTCAACAATAAAGATAAATTTAAAAGTAAGCACAGTTTTTGTGAGTGGGTCTCCCAGGACCTGCTCCACCCCTGACTGAGAGCACTGAGCGTGTGGTGGGCCGAGGGAAACAGCCAGCAGAGAGGGAGGGATAACTAGTATGGAGAGGAGGGCAGGTAACCCAGGAGCTGCAGGCAGGAATGACAGGGTGCATGGGTGCTCAGTGGCCTCGGCCACAGGAGGGACTCCTCCCTCCTGCCCACCTGTAAGAAGTGTGCTGCCTGGTGAATGGCTCACCAGCCTCTCTTAAAAGTTCCAAAATTTTGATATGGAATCATTTCAAAAGGGAAGATGTTAGGAAAAAAGTAACTCCTGAAAGAGGGACCAAGTTAAAACCACCACTAATAATGTCAATAAACACAGCTAACATGCAGAGCACCTACTACGCACCAGACACCGTGGGAAGCACTCATGTGTGCCGCGCTGCGCCCTCCTGACAGTGCTATGAGCTGGGTGGGGTCACTGCCCCCTCACAGACGGAGGCGCAGAGGTGAAGAAGCATGTCCTAGCTGGTGTGAGGCTGAGCTGGAGCTGGGAAGGAAAAGGAATGTCTGTCCCCGGCATTGCCCAGCGCCTTACAGAAAGCTTGGACATGGGCGTCCACGTGGCGCTGGGAGATGCTGGGAGGCGCTGGGAGGGGAACCACCAGGCCCACAGGGGATCCCTCTTTGCATCCCAGGCCCTGGCTCAGGCCTGGCCTGGAGGCCCACGGGGTTAACACGCACTCCCACGTATGCTTGGTGGATGACAGATGTCAAAACCATGGTCCTCGAAAGTAATAACCCCTGTCCGGCAGTCCTGACTGGCAACAGATATCCGGAGAAGGTAGACACTACTTTCAGCCATTAAAAAAAAAGGCATGCTTTGAAATTTAAAGCAAGGGACGTGAAACTGGCATCATGCATTATCATTTACCTCTTTCCGAAAACACATCCGGTGCCCACAGACAATAACTTCAGCTGCATTGTGCAAAGTGAGAAACACAGGAATGGCCTGAAAGGAAACAGAATAAAAAGCATGAAAATATTTTCTGTGATCTCATGATTACATAACTCTTGATTTCTGCTTAAAAATAAAGATCCGTGGGAACTTTGGCATTCACATATGCTAGTATATATAATCATCTCCAGCAACACCCCGTCTGCAGGGACTGGTGCTCTTGGTTGGAGTACTGTGCTAGGTGAGGTGGATGTAGAGGCTCCCTTCCACGGCTATTCCATCAACACACAGTTACGAAGCATCTGCTGTGTGTCAAGCACTGTGCCAGGTACAGAGGACACATCCCGTGAATAAGTGGACACCTGCAAGATGGACTGGCCTGCTCTCAGTGGATATGCATTGGTCCTAAAGAGCCAATCTGGAAAGGGAAAAGGCCAGAAGAGCTGCCACTGTCCAGACCACTCTCTAAACCACTGTCCAGACCACTGTCTAGACCACTGTCCAGACCACTGTCCAGACCACTCTCTAGACCACTGTCCAGACCACTGTGTAGACCACTGTCTAAACCACTGTCTAGACCACTGTCCAGACCACTGTCCAGACCACTCTCTAGACCACTATCTAGACCACTATCTAGACCCGCAGTTGCCAACCTTTCAGACCTCACGGACCACCAGTGGTCTGCGGACCACCAGTTGGCGACTGCTGATCTAGACCACTGTCCAGACCACTCTCTAGACCACTGTCCAGACCACTATCTAGACCACTATCTAGAACCAGAGGCAGATGACCAAGACTTGAAACACTTGAGTTCCGCCGTCTTCTGTCAGGCGATTACCATCTGCCTCACCCATCACCTGTCAGGTGACTATGAGAAACACATACAAATACACAGGGGAAATCACTCTAGAAACATATGGAAACACTGTACAACAAAAAAAGTTGTTATTAGTATGCACTTCTGTTATTCAAACTTCAAAATTCTGGCATCAGTAACTACCCAGATCCTACAAAAACTTTAAAAACCTTTGGACAACACAGTTTTTTTTACCCAGTGCTCTACTCTGCAGAGGAGAGGAAGCCCCCAAGGTCACGGCTGCAAGTAAGGCAGCAGACTCGCAGGAGGGCACAGCTCGGGTCTGGCTGAGCGCCGACAGGCACGGGGTCACTTCTCAGCCCCCCCAGGACGTGTCCCCCCAGGACGTGTCCCCCCAGGACGTTTCCCCCCACGGCACACAGCAGCCCATCTACTCAGGCTTGTAAATCGTGAAAGAAAAATGTTGATTTAATTTATAAATTACTGCTTTTAATTCTCAACCACTATTTTGCAACTTGGGAGCTGTCCTAGCAATAATATTGTTGTCCAGTGAGGCAGATCTCGTTTGTTTTATTACTGCTTTCACATAACAACAAACTTTACATAAAAGGCCTCAACTGTTCTGTAAATATTGCATTTTCCAAAAGCAGGAATGCAATCATTTTCCGACAGATAAAAACAGTTAGTCCCAGGGTAAAAAATGGAAAGAGGTTAGTCTAGCCATCATGGCTCAGTGGTTGAGCATTGACCTTTGAACCAGGAGGTCAAGGCTCGATCCTCAGTAGGGGGCGGGCAGGAGGCAGCCTATCGATGATTCTCCTGTATCATCAATGTTTCTCTCTCTCCCTCTCCCTTCCTCTCTGAAATCAATAAAAACATTTTTTTAAAAATGGGAAGAGGCATTACTATCGTTAGATTTTTTTTAAGCCACATTCTCAGTCTCTGGTCAGTGGTGGTATGAAAGGTTATCTTTTGATGGCAAAATAACTAAATTTTTGGCGTCCCATATAACGTAACTAGAAGTTTGTTCTTCACAGTTCCCACCTTTGAGCTCAATCCAGGGGGACAGGGTAGGAGGATAGAAGAGAGGCTCTTTTCACTGGCATCCCATGCTACTGGGCATCAACCCTGTACCAGGCACGTACTTCCACGCCTGAACCCAGCATGGCCCGGCCACATTACCAAGGGGCAGGGTTACCGTTCCCCGGGAGCAAGGGGCAGGCTAAACCCTCTCCTGGCCCGAGGACGGCCCTATCGACAGCTCCACAAAGTCACCACCACCCTTTTTCCTGCACCTCCATCTGTGCATCTCTTCGTCTAAAAGAAGCCGGCCCTTCCCTGTTACCTGTTTGTCTTCAATCCAGGGAGAGAGAGTGGGTCAGGCCCATGTGCCTCAGGTCCAGGGCTTGCTCTCCACTCAGCTATACCATTATCAAAGCTTTGTCCCATTAACCGGATGCAATAAGCTAGCAGGCAGGGGGGCAGAAGAGACAAGAGAAGGGCTGTCCCCCAAAACCTCCAACACTCACCAGTCTGGATAATGCTCTGGAACCGGCATAGATTATGCCCACAAACAGCACCGAAGCAGGAAGCCATGCCAAAACATCAGATCTAGAAAGAAGAAAAGAGGCCATAATACTTCCGTCAACACTTTATGTCCAAAGCCTTCGCTGGAAGGAATTACCTTCAGGTCCCCCAGATGCAGTGACAGCAGCTATGACACATCCCTGGGGGAGTCGAGCAGTGTGACAAGTGTATCTCTGAGGGTGATGGAGGCCACTCGGCCACCTACCTAGTGGCAGTGGTCCCACCGCAGGACACAGGTGAGCTGGACGTGGAAAAAGCCTCCTGCAGGCTGGGAGGGGGAACAAATCTAATTTTTAAAGAAGCAGTGAACATTATTCTTTGGATGTTAAGTAGCCAGAAGTTTTGAACTTATGCCACATTAAAAATTTTAAAGGCTATTTAAAGGCAATACACCAAACCGCTCCGTGGAACCACAACCAAAGGACCCACAGTGTCCAAGGACAGAACTGGGAAAGCAGCCGAGCTAGAGCCTGAGCTGGGAGGCCACGTGCCAGCTTCTCCGACCGAGAGCCCGAGTGCCGGCTCCGGAGTCTCCAAGGACTGATTCAGTCATGGCCACACCAAGAACTGCTTTTTCAAGGAAGTTTAGAACCCGCTCTTCCCAGAAAAAGCAAAATCCGGTTTATAGGGAGTGCATCTCACCAAGGTGGCAACTTGCTTCCCCATCAGTTACAAATGCATTCAGTCCTCAAACTCAAGTTCTGAGTTATTCCAATAACAGGCATCAGCCAAAACCGGTTTGGCTCAGTGGATAGAGCGTCGGCCTGCGGACTGAGGGGTCCTGGGTTCGATTCCGGTCAAGGGCATGTGCCTGGGTTGCGGGCACATCCCCAGTGGGAGGTGTGCAGGAGGCAGCTAATCGATGTTTCTCTCTCATCGATGTTTCTAACTCTCTATCTCTCTCCCTTCCTCTCTGTAAAAAAATCAATAAAATATATTTAAAAAAAAAATAAAAAAAAATAACAGGCATCAGTAAATGAAGCCGTCTCGGGAGGATGTGACATGATCATCCCAACTAACCAACGGCCTGCTCTCCTGGGTGGCTCCCGCTCAAACATGATCTTTGTCAACTTCATCAGCATGAGCAGCACCCGCTCCGTGGTCAGACCTGCCTTTGTACAACTTCCCAGAGAGCATGGCATGAAAATGTGTCGTCTCCCCTGGCTGGTGTGGCTCAGTGGTGTTTTTGTTATGGCAGCCTGCACTGACTAATACACCCTCCTTTACAGCTCTGACATGCAGGATTCTAAGAGAGCCAGTGGCCTGCACATCGGGAACAAAGGAGCACAGACTGTTTATTAGCGCACTCTCTCTTTCTCCAACTTTCATTCACAAGGCGGCACCATCTGGACCTCAGTGCTGGGTGATCTTACATTGTCTCCATGCCAACAAAGGAGGCCAGAGGGCATTAAATCCTGGGGTGGTCCTGGCTCTCTGTGGTCCATGGGCCTCCAGGAGCGGCCGAGCCAGTGAGTAGGTGTGTGTGTGCGCGTGTGTGTGCATGTGTGCGTGTGTGTGTGTATATGTATATGTATGTGTGCATGTGTGTGTATGTGTGCATGTGTGTGTAAAGGAAAGGAGCTCACAGTGACTCCTGGGGGTAAAGATTAGACGGTACAATTGCAGAGTAAGTCCCTGTTGAAGAACTATTTGCCACAGGGTCTGGTTTGAAAACTGCGGGCTACACAGTTATTCTCACAGGATTTATGCTTTACAAATGCTGCATCTTGCTGGAGTTGTGGGTCTGTTTTTGTGTGCGCACACTCCTGTCCCTGAGCACCCGGTGAAGAAAGCATTTACAAGCAGCATGTGAGATGCTGGCATGAACGATGAAACTGTTGTTATTGAGATGAAGGCTGATTAAATTAAATCACTTGTTTTCAAATACAGCGCACATCAGAGGGTGCATCCGCTCCCTGAACACTCGGTCTGTCTGTTCGTGAATGCCTCAAGGGCCCCTTGGGCTGAATTCTTGGAAACTCCCTGTGTTATACTGACACCCAGTGGACCGAGAAAGTTTCCACACATGAAAATAACGAGTGACCAAGACACCAGGCTCACGTGGCGCCTGTCGGCATTGCCTCCACAGTAACGCCTCACAGCTGTCAATCACCATGTGTTTCGCAGGTCACAGGACTTCTAGAGACATTGGCTCAATACTGCAGGAGGTTCCTAGATTCCATTTCTGGGGGGTCCATTACTGGTGAATACGGCCCCCACAGAGACTTATTCTCTCTTCTCCTCCCTCCTCCTTCTCTTAGACCTTTCTCCTCCCTCTTCCTCTTCCTCTGACTCACAGGCCACATGCCCCTGACCAAGTTCAACCCCAATACTACTTGATCCCAAGAACGCTGTGATGCTACTCCCTGTCACAGAGCTCAACTTAAAGTTGGAGTCAGCAAACTACGGCCCTGGGCCAAATCCCCGCCTGCTGCCTCGCTCTGCAAACGGCACTTTGTTAGCACACGACCACTCCTGTCCGCTCGTCCGTCTGTGGCTGCTTCCATGAGAGGCAGGGGAGCGGCAGTGACAGACGGCCCGGCCCACAAAGCCGACATACCTGGTCTGTCTCTGCTTGCTGGCTCCTGGTTTGAAGTAAGGCCGCCTGGTCCCCACCTCCGGAACCTACGAGCTGGGAGCCCAAGGCTTCACACACGAGGGGTATCCCTGGCTAGACAGACGGGATCGCTGCCATTTTGTGGTAAAGTTTCATTTTTCAGGGCACTTTCATCACTGGTCCTTCTCCTCCAGAATCATCACTTCCCCCAGTTCCCATTTCACTGGCCTGAGAGTCTCAACATGTCACCCCATTTTGTGCTGCTACGGAAACACTGACACCTTCAGCAAAGTTCTGACAATCCCTGAAGCCCAACAAGGGTCTGAAAGAAATCAGTTCCTGCCCGGCCGGTGTGGCTCAGTGGTTGAGTGTCAACCTGTAAACCAGGAGGTCACAGTTCGATTCCTGAGCAGGGCACATGCTTGGGTTGCTGGCTCGGTCCCCAGTAGGGGGTGTGCAGGAGGCAGCCGATCCATGATTCTCTCTCATTATTGATGTTTCTATCTCTCTCTCTCCCTCTCCTTTCCTCTCTCTGAAATAAAATAAAAAGAGAAATAATCCATCATTAAAAGAAAGTACAGTCCGGACCCTAACTGATTGTCTCACTGTTCATTCTTTAGGGACAGGACTGGTAAATTTGGAAGTTTTATAAAGATATCTGTTATGGCTCCACAAAGACACTCAATGGAAAACTAAGGGGTGGGACTTCTCCCCCACCTGTTAGGGAATCTGAGTAAAGAGAGTGGAAGTTCTTTATATTCTTTCTAATCCTTCTATAAGAAAACAATTTCAAAATTTACTAACAATGTTTAAAAGCTTATTTAGAAACTCATTCATAGTGGTCTTCTGATGTAAAACAAAGTCAAACTAGTATGGTATCATACACTACACATCTCACTTCATTTTAATACCATGTCAGTGGCATTACTAACCAGAAAAACACTACTTGCATCCTATTTGATTATAAAATCATTGCATCTTAAAGGTAGAAGGGAACTAAGAGACCAAACAGCTCAAATAAACACCCGTGTTTCCCAACATAAAGCCGAGAGAAATCACATAAGAGGAAGCAGGTCTGAGTCATGAAGCACAGAGAGGCTCTACCTTGAACTGCTGTTGATCTCCACCCAGCCCAGTTTCCACGACACATGAAGCAAAAGTCCACCAACTAACGTCTGCCACCTGAAAGGAATAAGGGTCCATTTGAATTTTTAAATTTTTAATTTATTTTTTTCCAATCTGAATTTAACTTAACGGTCTCAAAGCCATCGCCCAGAAGGAAGATCTGTCGACACAAATATACACATCCAACCTTCTTGGCCTTTTCCTCCCTCTCTCTCCCATTGCCACCCCAATGCTCACTGTCCTTCCCAACTTCTACTTACTCCCTTGAATCCATAAGAGCTGACATCGGGCCTCTCCTTACCAAGACCTGCCCTGAACAACTCCCCACACCCACCTGCGTTCCCATTGCCTCTGCACTGACGATTCCCAGTCGCCCTGCTCACCCGAAACCCACAAGCTCCCATATATAACACATCCAAAAAACGTTCCCTGGAACTTCCGCCTTCCATCCTGGTCGCCTTCCCACTCTCCCTAATCAGCGAACCAGAAAGCTAGATGCCGTCCTGGCCCTTCCTCCATCCTCACCTCCCTCATTTACTTGCAAAATCCTACTGATTTATCCCCATAACAGTTCCCACGCCTGAAGCCTTCCTTCCATCCCTACGCCTCTGCCTACTCAGACTCTCATGGCCTGCCACCTGAACACCAGCACCAGACCCATCCAGGCTGCCCCGCCCCATCCAGTCTCTCCCTTGAAGCCAAAGGATTTGTTCTAAAATGCAACCTTAAATGTTCTACTCGCTTGTTTTAAAAATGGTCGAGCCCAGCCAGTGTGACTCAGTGGTTGAGCGTCAACCTATGAACCAGGAGGTCATGGGTTCAATTCCAGCTCAGAGCACACGCCTGGGGTTTCAGGCTCATCCCCAGTAGGGGGTCTGTGGGAGACAGCCAATCAATGACTCGCTCTCATCAGTGATGTGTTATGTCTCTCTCCCTCTACCTTCCTCTCCAAAATCAATAAAAACCTATATATATAAAAGCCTAAGCGACCCATATCACCGGTTGCTATGACACACACTGAGCACCAGGGGGCAGACACTCAATGCAGGAGCTGCCCCCTGGTGGTCAGTGTGCTCCCACAGCCAACCTCCTGTGGTCCCTACCCCCAGTTGGCCGGCCCCAGATCGACCCCGATCACCAGCCAGGCTGAGGGACCCCACCGTGCATGAATTTGTGCACTGAGCCTCTAGTTACTAGATAAATATCACTCTATCTTGCAAATAGAGATTATGTTCTCTTCGCAAAGGCCCAGGGAATATTCTCCATGAACAAAACAATAGGAGGTGCACAGTAGGGCAAAGTAACTCATTCTACAAATATTTATTGGGTGCATTGTGTGCCCGGCACTGATCTAGACACTCCAGGCATCAGTGACGAAAACAAAGACCCCTGTCCTGGTGGGCCTGCCTTTCTCTTTTGCCCGCCCCTTAGATTTACCTGCAGTGACTGAAACCTCGTGGTTATTCTTGCTTCCTTCTCCTTCAGCCCTAGCATGCAGGTAGCCACCAAGTCATAACTAAAAATATGGCTTTGAAATTTATGAATGTGCTGCCTAAATAAAAAAGCAACTAGAAGGAAACAGGATAAGTTTATGCCTATAGTTCCCCTCAATACTTGGGTATTTTGCTATACTTTTTTCTGCATTGGGAAGGGGAGGGGTGCTTATTTTATAACCTGTGCTCCCCCTAAACTCTGCAGGCTGAGGAAGTGTGTCTCAGGTGAGCTTCATGACCCCACATATGTTGTGGCTGAGAACTGACACCTGCAGCACTAGGAAAAATCGACCGTTGTTAATATATACATACTAGAGGCCCAATGCATGAATTTGTGCACGGGTGAGGTCCCTCGGCCTGGCAGCAATGGGGCCGATTGAGGCTGTCTGACCCAGTGCTAATCGGGCAGCCAGCCAAGGGGGGTGGAGGGGTGGAGGGATTGCGGGAGGTTGGCCAGCCACGGGAGGTTGGCTGTGGGAGGGCACTGACCACCAGGGGGCAGCTCCTGCATTGAGCATCTGCCCCCTGGTGCTCAGTGAGTGTCATAGGGACCGGTCGTAATGGTAACTTAGGCTTTTATATATAGAGATAGATATATAGATTGTATTATTTAGCACATATATGTGTGTATGCTAATTAATATAATTATTATACATATGAAGTTCTTGTTTGTCCAACTGAACTGTCATGGAAATATAGTAGTAAACTTGTCTCCTATTACTAGTATGTTTCTATTTATCCCTGGTATTCCTGCACTTTTGTTTGATAAATGATGATGCTCTGTTTACTGGGTTACAGAGGTTCATCACCATCATTTTCATTTTGAACTGCACGTTCCAGCATTATAACACGTATCTATCCTCACTTGTATCATGCTTTCTGTCCTGAATTCCGCTTTGTCTGACATTAAGATCATGAGCCCTACTTTTTTGTTTGCATGTGTGTAATACAAAAAAGAAGAAAAATGAGAGATGAAGAGCTCTACCGCATATTTAAATGCTAATAATTAAAACAATTTAGCATAGCCCCTTTCCATAAAAGTTGACAAAGAAGTACTCAATAATATACCCTGTACTAGATTTATCAGGGTGATCGTTTCATAAGTTATACAAATGTCTACTCACTATGTTGTACAGCGGAACAAATATTTTATGTCAACTGTAGCTGAAAAAACTAAAGGAAATTTATTACCAAGAAAATATTTAAAAATAGATCCCAAGAAAATAACTTCAGCCCTGGAAGGGGTGGTGCAGTGGTTGAGCATCATCCCATGCACCAAAAGGTCACCAGTTCAATTCCTGGTCAGGGCACATTCCTGGGTCGGGGGCTCGATCCCTGGTTGGGGCACATGGGGGGGGGGGGGGGCACTGATCAATGTTTTTCTCTCTCTCTCTAAAATCTATTAAAAAACATTTGAAAAAGACAGAAACAACTTTATATATTACATTAACAACCCAAAGGCTAGAAAGGGTTATAAATAAAGCATAATAAATGGGAGGCCTACCCAGCGGGCTCGGCTGGTTGTTCATTGTTCTGTTCACCAAAATAAAAAGGCAAAGAACAAAATAAAATTGCAAAAAAAAAACAAAAATAAAAAATCCAATAAAGATAATGGACAAGTGGTTGGCATCCTTAAAATATGAGGAATTCATAAACTGCTAAGAAAGATACAAAAAAAACAACCCTGTAGAAATAAAAGTGTAAACGGGAAATATAGATACTTCACTAGAAAAAAAAGATGCAAGTGAGTAATAAATATAACTGTCCAACTTGATGAGTAATTTAAGAAATGATAAGATAAAACAATGTGATACCAATTTTGGCTCATGAAATCAGCAGAGAAGAAAAAAATAGTCATGGTTCTAGTATAATAACACAGAACTCTCATGTACAGTCTGGTGACAATGTAAATTGGTAAAGCATTTTTTGGAAAAGATTCTGTTAACATTCAAGAAGAATACTAAAGAAGTTCATATTCTTTAACCCAAATTTCTAATGTAGGAATGAATCTATGCCAACGAAATAGTTGGAAATTTGGCAGAGATAAGTATAAAAAAAGTCTGATAACTCTATTGTATTTATACCACCCAACTGGGACACAACTTAAATGCCCATGAATAGAATAGTTAAATAAATTACAGTATATCTATTTGGTGGAAAATCCATGCAGTCATTAAACATATGTTAAAGATAAAAGGTAAAGGAGGTCAAGTACTTGGTGACAGGAGATCTGACTTGGAGTGGTGAACACACAGCATATACAGATGATGTGTTATAAAATCATGAGCTTGAAGCCTATGTAATTTTATTAACCAAGGTCAGCCCAATACGTTTAATTAGAAACATTTTTAAATATATATTTAAAGGAGACTTGGTGATGCTGGTAGAACATCTCCTGCAAATGTGTGCAAAGAGCACAGCAATACTCACCCTTGGAACAATGTAGGGCAGGTAAATTTCAAGACCGACAGGACGTACTGGAAAACAAATACCCGGTTAATGGACGTTTTCAAATGATAGAGAACTGAAAGAAACCACATCATCACAGAAATCTCTAGCACAGAAACATAAGAACACTCAAGTTTCAAAAAGGCCTTTATTCCCTGCCTCTCCCCACCACAATCACACACAGGGCAAGACACAACAACACAGAAAAGCCTTCCCAGCCCTGGTCCAGACAGTGGGCCTGCCTGCTCCCCGGGTCCCCAGAGCCTGACCACCTCAGGGGGAGGAAGGGCCACACGGGCAATGGGGCAGCCGCTGGGTCTGATGCTGGACGGCTGACCACGCAGCATCTTCCCGGACCCAGAAGGGCTTAAGCGTTTTTCTAAAAACCAGCTCAGCTAAGGTCACCTTGTATTTCTATTGTCTTTCAATCAGATTGACAGCACTCTACGAATGCGGGGGGAGTTGTCCTTATGGATATCTTTTGCTACTTTTTTCTATTATTAAACATTTTAAGAATTATTTAAAAGCCTAATTCTATTAAAGGGCTTTAGGATGGACTCCACTGATTGCTCACATGCTCTAAACAATGGAATAGAATGGTGTTGGGTCCCCTGTGTGAGTTCCTAAATGCCACAATTCTGGCTCCCACTGTGCACATGTTTATTAGAAATGACCTTCACTTTTCTCTGGTCTATTTACTCCCATAATTCCATGTCCCTCCCACTTTCCCCTGATATTTTCATTCTACAACAGACATAGAGGAAGATTGCGTGAATATCTGGGCCATATCCTGCATCGCCCTTAACAACCCTCCTGCAAATAACAAATATTTACTTAGTTTATTGTGTGCTGGGCTTTGTCCTCAAACTTTTTAAACAGGGGGCCAGTTCACTGTCCCTCAGACATTCCACACACGCGCACTGCGGGCCCGGGACGAGTCAGCTGCTCAGCAGGACAGGCAGCGGCGGCAAAAACACCCTGCGGGCCGGATGAATGTTTTCGGCGGGCCGTAGTTTGAGGACCCCTGTCCTAGATACTGGGCAAGACAGAGAACCCTGCAGCTGCCACTTCACCTCCCGCAAGAACAGTGAGAAAACAAGGAAATCTCTGAACAAAGGCTACCTCTCCTGTCAGCAAAGAATTGCTCAGACAGAGACCTATTTGGAAGAGGAGCAGTAAGAGTTTCTCAAGGGAAAAGGAGCAATTTGGGGGCCTTGACAAGGAGAACGGATGTGGACTTGGCCTCCAGACGGAAGGGCTAGCACCTGTGAGGGGAAGGACAGGTGGCTGCCTGGGCCTCGGTCGGCTACCGCTGGAGCTCCTGCGGACGGAGGAGCGCCTCCCTCACCAGGCCGGCCAGGCCAGGCAGCCCCAGCACCTGCTGTCCGCACGCTGAGTACACGCTGTCCGCACGCTGAGCAAACACCAACCACTTTTATTTACTTACTAGAGGCCCCATGTAGAAATTTCGTGCACTGAGGGGCGGGGGAGAGTCCCTCAGCCTGGCCTGCACCCTCTCGCAGAACAGGACCCCTCGGGGGATGTCCGGGACCCCTGCTCCTTACCACCTGCCTGCTCGCTGCTCCTTACCGCTCAGCTTGCTGCCCCTTAGCACTGCCAGGGAGGCGGGAGAGCCTGGCTTCTGGCTGAGCAGCGCTCCCCAGAGTGCACTGACCACCAGGGGGCAGCATCTGCATTGAGCATCTGCGCCGCCCCGCCCCCCCCACCCCACCTCAGTGTGTGTCACAGGACCGGTGGTTCCAACGTTGGGTCGATTTGCATATTGGGCTTTTATTGTATAGGATTTTTTTGTTCATCCTCACCAGAGGATATTTCTTCCATTGATTTTTAGAGAGAGTGGAAGGGAGGAGGAGAGAGAGAGAGAGAGAAGCACAGATGTGAGAGAGACAATCGACTGGTTGCCTCCCGCGCACACCCCGGACCAGGGCCTGGGATCAAGCTTGCAACCGAGGTGCACACCCTTGACCGGAATCAAGCCTTCAGTTCAAGGACCAAAGCTCTAAACAATGAGCCAAACTGCTAGGGCTCACCACTCTTCTAAACAGTAATAAGACTAAGGAATGAAACTAAAATGGGCAAGATTTTCTTAATGAACTTCCTTTAGACAGAGAGGGAAACAGTTTGAGGAGAAAACTACAGAGAAATAGGACAATAAAGAAATTAGCATAGGTTCCCGGCCCCTCAGGCAGCCACCCCAGTGGGCACACGCGCAGGCTCTGCTCCAGCCCCGCGCTCCCTCCCTTTGCCCTTCACTTCCCAGCTGCCAAGATCTTGGAAGCTTTGAAGCTCAGCAAAGAAGGGAATCCATTGAGAATAGCCTGTAAAGGCAGCGTTCACCGGGCATCCAGAGATCGGCTACTAGCCCGGCGGCTACTGACCCGGAGCAGCGATTCGCAAACAGCGCGACTGCAAGAGCCAAGGGAGACCTGCACCCCTCACGGAAGGTTGGACTTGCTCGA